AGTTCCCCGCAGCAACCTTGGCGCTCCCCAGAGACAGTCATGCCAGGCCTGGAGGAAGCCAGTCACTTTGCTTTGCATCAAAGCACTGTTGGAGGCCCAGGGCTGGAAGTGCCAGCAGAGGTGGCTCATGTCTGAGCGCATGTTTGCTGGAAGTGTTGGTGACAAAACGTGCGCAGCAGGCCGAATGCACCTGGGAACATAGGGAGCCCACCGCTCTCTCGAGTGCTGTCCTCCACGCTATAAACATGCTGTGCTCCTTAAACCTCCAAGGATCCATTTTGAATTCTTCATAAGACAGTGAAAACTGCATGGCATTTAAGCCATGCAAATGTCAAGTAAATGCTTTAAATGGAACCCTATGCTTCCAGGACCGGCTCTCATCCTGCAAAACCCCAAAAGCTGTCTTTCCCACTGCTGGTGCCCTTGTTCACCTGATCCCCCATGCTCTGTGGGCTCCTGCCCACCTGGCTGCCAGCTGGAGTTGTCTCTTTGGGATTCCTTATTGTGAAATATTTGTGCTCCTTCTCTGCCCTCTGGTACTATCCACATGTCACTCTCCCCAAGCACTCACCTGCAGGAGGTTCTCCCTTGTCTCCCTCTCTGTGTAAACCCTCGCATCAGGGAGGTTATGGAAGGAGAGGACATCTCTCATTGAAGTGCTGTCTCTGTCCCCGTCTCATAAGGGCAGCCCCGCTAAGTTGCGCCTGTCTGCACATGCTGGGCTGTCCTTTGGAGAGCATAGCCCCAGTGCTAGCATTTGCCTTCTCCTGAGGTTAGCAACTGATGTCTGGAGTCAGCTGGAGAGTGGCTGAGGCAGGGATAGCTCAGCTTGAGAACAAACTCCGCTTTGCGGGGATATGTCTAGAGTCTGAAGGACCCTTCACACTGGCATTAGCTATTTGAGCTTCACCATGCACAACAGCGAGCCAGTGAGCTGTGAGACTTTCTGAGCTGTGTCACGGACTTGCAGTGTAATCCTTGGCAAAGTATTTCCCTCTCTGTCTCACGCTAAGTCTACGCAACACATGGTGAGTGGGTGGGAGTCCAGCTAAAAGGTAGTGTGTATTAGCTTGGCACTAGGCTAACAGGTTTGCGGCTTTCAGACTGGAAGCAGGGCCATGTCCTGCTGGCTCGAAACACGGGCAGAACAAATGTGGCTCTGCTGGTAACATACTGAGTGGACATAACGCAGTCTCTTTCCATCTGTAACTTGGAGATTATGACACTGGCTTGTCTCCCTGGGGTTTGGAAGATGAGTGATTCAATCTTGCCTCTGCTACAGGAATCATGAAGAGACTCCCAAGGTTACAAAACTGTTTCCTCTTCAGTTTATTTTCTATCTGTTGCTGATTTCATGTGTAGAGCACTCAGCCTGGCAGGGCTGTGTTGCCTCTTGTGGTGTTTACTTTCCCCAAATAACAGAGCGATGATTTTGATCCTCCCCTCTGCAGTTGTCGTCCTCTATTTTTCTAGCCCCTGCCCAGTAATTAGTCCTGTCTGACAACAAGTCCCGCACCCCTCTAGACACCTCCACTCTACTCCTTCTGTCCCTTGGGTGTTTCTTCTGCTTCTCTAGGGGTTCTCCACAGTCCCCTGAGACTGCAGTAGGGGTCCTTTCTTCCTACCTTGTCTCCCAGACTCAGTGCTGTGAGGTTGGGAAGCAGGCTCCAGGAGGCTCCTTGTGGAAGGGTGAGCTCCTCTGCTGCTGTGCCCCAAGAAGGAGGGTGCAACGCTCAACAGCCAATCCAAGGATACGCCCCGTCCTTCTCCTTCTCTCCTCCCCACTGTGCTGGCCTTGTAGGGCGGGGTTTGGTTTGGTGTCTGTGGTGTCATGGCAGGTGGTGAGACTTGGTGACCCTGAGGGTGTCTGTGTGGGAGCAGAGGCCTGGAGAACGCACCATAGCGGTGCCAGTCTCTCTGCAATGACCTCCAGCAGTGGGAAGGTGCTTGCAGGAGGATCACAGGGCTCCTTGGAGTATGGGCTTCGCACCCATGGGCACAGGCACTGAGGATGCCGCTAGTAGGAGCCTGGCTGGCCAGGGGTACAGACTGCCAGAAAGCAGCTGCTGAACGTGCCTGTCCTCTTGCTCTGCCTAGTATGTCCCTCTTGGAGATGTTCTGTTGCCAAACTCACCACACTTACTTGGTGACTCAGCCCTCACCTTTGCTCTGCTCTATGCTTGCTCTTTGGGTTTCTGCTTTGCCCACACAGACTGTGGCTGCTCCTTTTGACCTGCTGGCCCTTGCCTTCAAAGAGCATGGCAGGCCAGCTGCAGGAAAAAGAGGGGTGGGTGCTGGCAGCCATAAGGGACCAAGCACGGTATGGAGATTGGGTCTGCCCAGCGAGGGGAAGGGACGGGAGAGCCACTGGGCAGGCTGCTACAAAAAGTGCTTAGCTGTGGCCTAAGGGGGCATCTGTGGCATGGAAAGCTTGCTCTGGCCTTTGCCACAGCAAAATCTGGCAGCACCTCTCAGCGAGCCCAAGTGGGCCCCAGATGTCCCCATGGTTGGAAAGTGGAACATGTGAGAGCTCAGACTATCTTTGGACTACTAAGGTGGGGGCATAACACTGGGGTCCAGCAAGGTAAGAACATCTCAGATTAGTTCTCTTTGTAAAGACTCCTCGGAAAAGCCCTGCTAGGACCCTGTGGTGCTGCCTTCATCACCTCTGGCAGGTACAGTGCTCTGCCTGGGGCTGCTGTTTCAGACTACTCTTATCCAATCCCACTCTGATTATGGGAATACAATTTAACTCTACTATTGATTCACTTGTGCCTAATCCTACAGGGGTTTAGTGCCTTCAGAGAGTGATCTTGTCTGCTAGGGTTCAGGCCCCTGTCTGTCTAGTCTCGCACTGTTTCCTAGAAACTTCTACTTGCTGTTGGCATTTGAGAGCGGTTATTCATACGCTCCCTCCAGAAGGAGCACACAAGAAGCAACCTCTTCTTTGCCTACAAGAGAAACAACCTCTGATTATGTCAGTAAGTTAAAGAGAGAATGGGAAAGGGCTTTGCTCTTTGCCAGATCTGCTGAATATGCTTTGCAAAGTGTGTTTCAGCTGTGCTGACGGAAGAATGGGAGCTGTGACAGTCTAAGCAAAGCGGGCCTTGCTGATGCTTGGAGTGGAGTTCTTCAGCAGCCCTTAATTATCTAAAGAAAGACATGCTCCAGCTAAGTCATTTTCAACCTTTACTGATGGGCACATCTTTAAAATGTTCAAGGCCTCTTGTGTGCTCTTACATAGTAAGTAAATGGAAGTTTGCTGACAATAGACTTGCCTTCCTTAGATACTTTCTGCAGTTGTCTTAAAGAAGAGCCTCATAGATAGCCTAGGTGTCCATGGACAACAAAGTGAAAATCAGTGCTCTAACCAAGTCAGAACAGAAGTGAGTTGATGCAAGAATTATTTCTTTGGCTTGTGTTGTTGCAGGAAGTCACATCAAGGGAATTTTTCTGCTTTCTCCCTGTAAAGTCTACCTAGGTTAATAAAATGTTGACTCTGAAGGGCTGGGTAGTGCTTTACAAATTATGAGGCTTCTCAGACCACTTTCTCTTCCCGTATGCAGTGATTGCATCTATACAGGCAGCTTCATTCCTGAACTCCAGAACATCCCCTGACATGCCCGTTACCCACTGTCTTTGGCACTCTTAAAATGTGAGTCCCACAGTTTGAGCTCCAGCACTTCTGGAGTCTCCATCTCATGCCATGTGAATGCAGGAATCACTAGAATACCAGCGCTGAGCTAAAGCATCCTCTGACCCCGCTGTGTTCATGTGTAAGTCGTTCCAGAAAACAAATGTACACGTTTCTGGGATTCCTGTGAATTCTGTCAGCTGCTCTAACTGCCCTGTCTGATGTTAGAAATAATCCGTACTCCCAACTTCATTTCCAGAGTCTTTCCAGGGCTTTCAGGCTGCCTACTTCTAACTTTACATCTTCTGATGACTGTATTCTCCCACCTACTTAGACATGCAAAGATAATATATTCCCCAAAACTTCCCTCCGTGATGGCTAAATAGTTTTGGAAAACAACCAGCCACTTGTTGTTCCTTCTCTTGATAGCCATTTAAATGTGAGGGGTGACCAGAGGAAGCAGGATTAGCTGCCTGCTTAAGCTTTCCAGAGTACCTATTGGACGCACGACTTTCTTTTGCCAGTGATCACTACAGAAAATAGCCCGAAAATACATAATAAAGGATAGGTGGGAAGGATGTTGTTTATGGAAAGGCAGTCAAAAAGTCCTTGCAGCAAAGTGCTGGACTTAACAACCGTGGAAAAGATTTAAGCATCCTGGAATTATATAACATTGTGCATGTCAAGTAGAAACAAAAACTGTTGCTAGCACTGGAGAGTGCCCTGCCATTCAATGGGCTCGTCATGCCTGAGGTAGGTAGCTGGGATGTGGAACATGGGTTCTCAGGAAGAGAGAAAAGCCGGGGAGTGGCCAGTGTAGCCGCTGGCATGCAGGTCTTCTCTGGGTGGGGCTGGAGCACTGAACAGCAACAGACAGCAGCAGTCTGGAACAGGAGACAGAGCAAAATGTTGTCTTCAGCTGAAACAGCTTGGGACATTTATGGAGGCAAAATGCAATGACCAAAGTTGGAAGTAGGCCCATTTTACACCCCAATACTATGAACAAAATATAGAGTGCTGTGAGATCTGTAATGATCACAGGTCATTGGCCTTCAATTACTCTTGGAAGGAAAGTGGTTGCTCTCAGCACTGTGCCAGGAACAGAGCATAGCAACAGTTCCAAAGGGAGACACTCCCTACGGAATTGCTCACACGGCAGCATTCACATATTCCTTGGGGGTTTCTTTTCCAAGCACTTAAACAACTCAGCCCTTGTCTGATTGGTTTTGATCTCAGCTGCTGGTCCATCTGGAAGGAAATATCAGATGCTGCAGGAAATAATTTTATGGGTGACTCAGAGGTGCTGGCTGCAGACAGACCTTAGCTTCCCCTTTTCCTAATCATGTTGTTTTGTCTTTTTGCTTAGGCCGAACGTCTGTGGGAGACAGTGTTGCTCAGGGTGGACAATGGCTCCGGGCACAAACCGGTGCATCAAACGTGAGTATGAAAGTCTCAGCCAGCACGGGTCTCATAATGCGCCCCCTGGAAAGCATTCAAATGCTGCTTTGACCCTGTACATGTGTTCTCTTTTGGCCAGGGTAGGGCAGTTAGATGTGCATTCCCCAGAGCTGCAGCAGAGAACAGCCTCTACAGCGCTGTGGCCTTCCCATGTGAATGTTAGCCTGGGGTCAACTTTCTGCACCTGCTGGCAAATTTGGCTCACACTGAGTAATTATGTCTTTATTTTATTATTATTATTAGTTTCAGTCAAGAGCAGAATCCTGTCGGGGCAGGGTATTGCAATGGCATAATTAAATATTAAAGATTAGTTTCTAGCCCTACGACCTTGTTTTCCTGTTTGGAGTAAGATACAAGTCTGTGAAAAACACAGCAGATGGGAATTGGCAGAGTCCAGGGTTGTGCTTACATAAGCAAACAATACTTATGCTGAGGGCAAAATCAGGGCTTCAAGTTATCTGAATGTTATTAAAAAAAGCAATTAATAAGACTGGCAAAATGGCTAGGATAGGTGGGGCTGGAGCATGAGGCAACATGGGAGAAGGCTTTGCAACAGCAGGAGGCAGCAGGGAATTCCCACAGCATTGAAACTGCCCAGCATGGGGCAGCTGCATTCAGAAGACCAAGACCTTTCATGCCTTCTCGAAATGGGGAGTTACTGGGGCTGGTATAGTGCAAAGAGCTGTGTCCTTCTCCCCTGCATCCATGTGTGTGGCCCCACGGTGTCCTTCACGGGAAGAACTCCAGTGCCTGAAAATGCTGGGCCCTTTGAGTCGGAGCCTCCGGGCGGGGGCAATTTGGCCCCCATGTGTTCATGGGATGAGAGCAGCGCGGAGTGATTTACAAGGAAATAATCCTGTGCAAGGGGCTCTGGTGACATCATTAACCACACACAAGCTAGGACCCAGAGATGCAACGAATCAGGTTGTAAATCAGGGCTGCTTGCTGGTTGCTGGTTAGTTTTCATACCTGTGAATCCAGTGCTGTTTGTGAGTTTCCAAATGCATCAGTCCTCCAAAACCGCACAGCAAGTGAGGAGTCTGTCTTACAAATGTCTCCACTCCAGTATTTGCTGCTGTGCAATTCGATCTGCTGGAAAAGACATCTCTGTGCCGATGGGACAGGCAGCCCAGAGTGAGTCCCTCAACTCTTGGGCCGGGGGAGCCTCAGATCGAACCAGCAGGGCTTTTTTCCACTTCAGGTGCCTGCCTTCAGTGAGTCCAAATTCTGGAAGCAGTTGTTGGGGGAATCTTGCACCACCGGTGAGACACAGCTGTGCCATCACGGAGCAAGGGACTGCGCTGGGGCTTTATATGACCGGGTAGATTGCATTTGTCCTCTCCGTTAGCCTGGCATCCCTAGTCACCTTTGCTGGTAAATACACAGAAAGGGAGGAAGACTATCTGGAGACAACAGGAGCCTGATCAGCGAGTGGAGTCCGTGCCAGGAGACTGCTCTGCTCCTCCTGGTAATGGCCGGGGGTTGTCATCTACTCGCAGAGTGTGACTCCTGACTCGACTATTGAGGGATGACTGGCAGGGCTAAGGGTGTAGAGGGAATTAATGAATTGTATTGTATAGGAAAGTGACTAGAAGCTTTGTGAGGGAATAATTAAGTGTATTACATAGGAATATCCCTGGGAGCCTTGGAAGAGAGCAGCACGCCCTTGGGCTGAGCATTGCCAGGGAGGGACATTTCCCATCCCATAAGGGGAGGCCAGGGGCCGGGTCCCAGCCAGACTGTGGCAAGGAGGGGAGAGGGCCCTGGCCCTCCTAAGCCTCCCAAATCAGAAGGGCTAAGGAGAGCGTGGCCCCTACCAGTGCAGGCCAGGCCTCGCCATTTCCATGGCAATGGCCATGGTGGGCCTGGGTGCCTACAGCGGGATCCTATGGCCACAGTGGGGGCCAAGAAGGGCTCCGCTCCTTTGGCCGGCCCCGTGCTCCTCTCGACTATAGACATTAGGAACCGAGGCGGCATGAGCCTGGGCACAGGGAAAGCCTGGGAGGGAAGCCTTGAAGGTCCTCGCTGGGCCCCTCGATTTGCAGCTCCCTGGGGCGTGGGTCTCTGACACTGCCTTTGGAGACGTCCACAGGGTACATGGCAAGGCGTGGGCTGGGTGGAGGTGCTGGTGCCACCTGTGTCCCTGCTGAAGGGGCTGCTGGGCAAGGAGCCAGCGCATTTCTTGCTGTCGGGCCAACCAGTCCTCCCCGCTGAACTGGCACTGGCTGACTTGAGGCTCCAAAGCTGCCTCCAGCCCAGTGGTGATCTCGGTCCAGCATAAACATGCGTAAATTTCTCTTTAGCATAAAAATGCAGCACTCTGAATTCTTTTCCTGTTTGGAGTTGAGTTTCTGTGGGCCAGCAACACCCCCAGCCTCTGAAATTTCTTCTTCCTCTTGTGGCCAAATGACATTTTTCCTCTACTCGTCTTTTATAGCCTTCATGCTAGGCTGTCACTTCCCAGCTCTGAGCTCTCATAGTGCTGGCTGATTAAAACCTTCCGCTCACCAAGCGCTCTTGCTGTTACTCCGAACGCGCCAGGGCTCGTGATGGAGGCCCCGACTGCCTTTGCTCTGTGAAAGCCATTTGCACTGTGCAGGAGTCAGAGCTGCAGCCTGGGAGCATGCACCACGGCTGGCCAGGCTGAGTGAGCTGCCTTGCTGCCGGGAATCAGAGCCGTGCTGAGCCAGGCAGCCCCGAGCAGCGGGGGGCCGGGGGGACCTGAGGTGCTCAGTCAGGTTTGTGTGGCTGTTTGGACTTACAGAACAGCTGGTTGCTGGGTGGAGATCATTTCAAGACACAGGACTAGACACAGGACTAGAAGGGAAGGAGTTTGTGAAGGCAACAGTGAGATGCAAATTAGAGGCAACCGTATTGCTGTCTCTGTCCATAATAGCTCTCTCTAATCACAGCCCAGTCCCTGTCAGTGACTGCTATCTCTAAATGACAGCATTTCACCACCTAGCCCAGGCAGAGGCCTTTTCATGTTGTGCCTTCCTAGGGGATCACTTGTCCTATGCACCCACCAGCGCACCTGCCCTGGTGTTTTTATTCTCTCTTAAGGAGGCAAGGGGCTGTCTGCAGCGCCGAGGCAGCCTGGATGGGAGGGGAGCACGAGCACCGACGCTGGGCCGGCTTTTTGAACATAACAGCTCTGCCCAGAATATCTGAGAGCATCTGACTTCGCTCAAGTGGCAGGGGCTGCCCACATGCTTAGTGGGAATGAGGCTCTGCTTTGTTTGCTGCAGGATCTCAGAACACTTTGGCTGCTCTGGAATAATTACATTAACAATCACTGTTCGGGAGCAGGGGGCCAAGGGCTGACTCACCTCCTTTCTCTGTCTCCCTTCCCCCTGTAAACAGAAGCCAAACGGTAGAGAGCGTGCTGTGCTGCCAGACAGTGTCTATAAACAGAGCGTGAGGCCAGCAATGGCAGCATCTTTCTCTCATTAGGGACTTTTGTGGGAGCAGCACAGATCTGGGCTCATAGCCGTGTGGGCTGTCTAGTGACTGCTCAGGTGCCGGGCCATTGTTCCCAAGGGTTAACTAAAAGGACACTGTCATGTCATGACATGATCAGGCCTGACAGTGTCCCCCCAACAGGGGATGGTAAACCTCAGGCAGTCCTTAGGTTGAGACCAGTGATGTGTAAACTTTGTTTAGTTCCCAGCTACTTTGCTCACGGGGCTTTTCTGCTGGAGTTCAACCTGCTGGGGATATTTGGCTGTTCTTAAAGCTGCCAGGGCAAGCTGGACATCCCGTCCTAGTTAATTTCTGCGCTGTAATGTTGTTTAATTTTGGATCCTGTGGTCTTTGCTATGGGGCATATTAGGAAATTTAGCAGGGTAGAAACACAGCCAGAGGGAACATCCTAGTGTGATGAAGCAGGGAAGAAGCTGACATTCAGGTCTCAGGCAGAACCTTGGTTTTGATGGGTGTGAGTCTGGACATAGGAGAGAGGATAGGCCTAACTGTTGCCTTAGTCCAATTCCCATCACGTAGCAAGCCCAGTGATTTCTTCCTTCTCCACCAATACTTTTCCAGGGTTTTTCCTCTTGTAACATCTTTTCATGACTGACCTCAAGCCCTAGGCAGCCTTCTCTAGCCTTTTGGTATGTTCCAACCTCTAGGACTAAAGTGCAGTGAGTACCTGGAGAGTTTCTTGGGAGTCAATGACTGGGAAGATAAAAAAGAGAAATATCAGATTTTCAGACATTTTCTGCTAAAGTTAACGTGAGTTAAGAAAGCAGTTAAGGAAGACGTTCTCACCTACTTGGAACAGGCTTGGTTTCTACCCAAGCATCGTCAGATCTAAACACTGAACTGCAGACAGGGCATCCTGTGGGACTTCAAAGATCTTCCCTCAGGAAGGGTAATTAAAGGAAAGAAGCTACATCTGGACTTGGTACCTATGAATGCATCCGAGCTCCTGTCCTGTTCATCTTCATCCTGGGATGAGGCTCAGGTGCATACCAGCTCTTTCCTCTCTCGCTTTATGTCCTGGAGAAGAGGAAACCTGTACACACAGGCTAGCTAGAAGCCTCCCTGCACTGCCCAGATTTCGGGGGAAGCAGGGACTGCAGTGTGCACTTGCAGAAAATTTAGCTGTTGCCTGTATTTCTTCACAGCTGGCTATTCACTTCCAACTCAGACTGATTCTATCCTCTCTGCTTAACCATCAGAGCAGGGGAATCCTCCTGCTCAGCCTCCCTCTGCCAGACACCCCAAGTTAGTTTAACTACTTCCACTTCTATCAGTCAACATGACTGACCACGGTTCTCTGCTGCTCCCCAAGGTACCAGTCCTGGATGGCCTGGCAATACAGGATAAGCTTTTTTATGATAGGGATATTTTAAACTTTAAAAGAAACCTTTTAAATTAGCATGTTGGGAGGAATTCAATAAATTCATGCACTTCTGATCTTGTGTAGACAGACTTGTAGTTAGGATACTTGATGAAGGTGCAGGGATCCCAGGGTCTATCACTGGCTCTGCTGCAGTCTCACAGTATGTCTTCAGACAGTCACATTAGAGCCTGGGCTTTTCCACATGTGCAAAATGGAGATGATGTTCACATGCCCTTTTGTCTATTCTCTGTACAATAACTGTACATTCTTTGAGCACGGACTGTTTCACTGCAGCTGCTTTCATTCTCTGTTATTCATGTATTGCTATTGATTTCCCTGCTTGTCAGCCTACACAGATCTCTCACTCATGTTAAACTGTCCTTCCCTTCTGAGTTTGCTAATGTAGTCAGAAGCATAAGTTGGAGCCCAGGTTACATACCAGTTTGCATCGATAAGCACTTCACTCTTCCATGAGAAGGTGGATTAAATCACCACAGTGGTGAGAGTCCTCCATAACCTTCCTACTGTTTTCTGGGGGATGCCTAGGTAGATGGACAGGTTTTTCCGCATTTAAATGGGACTGAGCAGGAGAGCAGCTCAAAGAGCTTACAGTGAAGAGCTATACCATTGTCCTAGACCTAGCACGCATGCAGATCAGCAAGGGCACAGTAACTGAATGTCACCTTGCAATGTCATTGCTCAAACCTGGGCCAAGCTAACATAAGGAATTCTATAGCATAGCACCTGCACAGTGATAGGAGACTGGACTCAGTAGCCTTCCCCTCTTACAGACCTGCTTTCCCTGCCTAGGTGGTTAGAGTCACACGACAATCATCCTTGCAGTGTTACTCTGCAGTGAGAATGTATTTCATGCACTGAAGATCAGACAGCACAAGACTTGATCGATGAGGGTATTGCTAGATGCTCTTTAAAAAAATAGGATTGTTACTGAATAATACTTTACCAGGGCTCTAAATCTCATGCTTTTATTAAGAGTTTTGAAATATTTGTTGTTGATTTTCTTAAAGCCCCACCTCCTGAAGCAGGTGATTACATGAGATTGTAATGAGAAGAAATGAGTAGCTTTCATCTTAACAGAATCTTTTTATAACCCTCATGGCTGGGGAGAAACATCTCAGAGTAACCCCTGGGCTCAGAAACCAAAAAGCAAAGAGAAAAATTCCAAATATGTATTTTTAACCTTCTTGTTTTATCTGACAGTTTCACAGTTTTGGGGGCCTGACTCATGATTTTCACACACTTGGAATTGGCAGTACTTCTGCTGAATGATCTGTTCTTCCTACTTTGCATATCTAGACTCAGTCAAAACCAGTGACTTTTAAAAGCTCTTTCAAGTTCTTTCTGAGTCTGCAAAAGAAATAGGGAAGGGGATTAATCCTAGAGCTGGAATCTTTCAGCTAAGGCAGCTCCCCACCCATCCTGCATGAAGGAACAAGAAGACTAAACCCATTCCCTTCTTCCTCTTCTTTATATCAGCTGCCTTAGGGACTTTAATATTTAGAGTGCCTGGTCGCTTATCACT